TTAATATTTAATATATTATAATTTAATATTTAATAAATTTATTTAGCACCTGATTTTTGAAATATTTTAAAAAGTTTGTTATTTATAAAATGTGAACTTTAAAAATAGGAACTATGCATTGTTGCCGCCAAAAAAAGTGTTACATAATGGCCTAAAAAGGCTAGTCATAGGGCTACCGTTGATATCTAAACCTTTAGATAACTAAACATCACTGCCAAACCTGAAAGACAAACTCCCATATAATCAATCCTGTTGTAAGCATTTATGTTTCTGTTTCTTGCAAGGCATTGTTAACTCACATTTTCCTTCCCTTACACTCAAATCCAATAGCTCGATCACCTATACATGCGTCTTACCAAAATTATTTTGCTAAAAACAATCCTGTATCAAATAGGGGCATCAACTGAGAATTCCTGCAGGGGAGAGATTAAGGAAGAAAAGGAGTCATCTCGGAACATAATTGACGAAGAAATGCCCTTGCTGGTAAATTCAGCCACACCCGAAGTACAGAAAAATCTAATACAAAAAAGACATTTGCAAGCACTGTCACCTGGCTTATCTTCTACCACCAACTCAGAGCTTGCTTTTCAACTTCTGTCTCCAGTATTTTCAAACCAAGGTTGTTGTTATGCAGTGAGTCGATCCTTAGCTGCTGGTCGGTAATCCTCTGTCGATTGTCGTGTTTTTTTTATGGATCTTCACAGATAGCTTCAAGGACCCAAAGGAGAATGTCTGTTATGGGTTTACCACATTCCGTAGCTTGTATCATTTATGGATCAGTAACACTACCACCTGAGGTGGCAGCACAGTATAAACTGATACTTCGACTTTATCCCTGCCTTGATGTCAATACTAGTTTTTGCAGCCATTGCACTGTTAGATCAAAATGTGGTGAGCTGCTTTTACCCACAACCATCAGATGGAACAAAAGAGGTCCTCACAGAACTGCCAGTCGAGATTGGGGAAATATGCAATATGTTGTTCGTTGTCTTTCATACCAAACAACATGGAATCGGGTTGCCAGTCACAGATTGTTAAATCATTTATCCTCTGACCTGACCACTCGATGCAAATACATATTTTATGTACTAATGAATTAATAACTTCAATTTCTTCATGTCTGTGACATACTTTCTTTTTACTCTGTTATATAAACTGACAAACAGCCTTTTCTTCCCTGACATTCTGATCATCTTCCAGTAACAACATGCAGTCATCATGAATTTGAATTCACTCAAATGCTAGAAAAGAATGAGGTTATTAAGAAATTTGACTTTATTGGAAAATAATTTTAATTGAAAAATACCAGAACCAAGTCGATAATACTTTCAAGTGTCTAGCAATATGATTAATAAAAAAACAGTCTTATGATAACAGAAGATATAAGACAAGGTTGGGGGAAGAATAAGCTGAAGGAAAGTTATATATGCTAGCCAGTCAATATGGCAGGATAAAAAACAAAAGGCTGCAAAGCCTTACCAGAAATCTTTGTTAGCAATGCCATCAAGCACGTGATGGAAATAATAACATGATGAAAGAAAGGGTCAATGGTTAATCTACCCGTTTTTGCTTCTTGATGAAAAAGCTGTGCCAGCGTCAGGGATGAAAAAACCTGATCAACCCGAAAGCTCAGGTTATTTTGAGAGCAAACTGCAGAAGAGGATTTGCGGAAACCCTTTCGATGGGAAGAAGAAAATGACTATTTACTATTATATGGTCTCCATCAATTTCGTTTTTGAGTACCACAAAACACGAGAATTACTTGCTTGGAAATTAAATAAAGTTCCTAACATGAGATGAATTTTGCATGTCCATTCGCACCAAGTTCCCAAATCCAATTTGTATTTGGCAGCGCAGTAACATTAATCTACATGCAACTTCAATTGGAAATAGTCTTTTTGCATTCATCCATCAGCTTAGCCTGTAACAGATCAGCAGCTTCACGCACTTTCCTTCTGTCCCAAAACCCATCCAATATGGTGTTCCATGTTTCCTTACTAGGTATGCATCCATCAAGCACCATCTCATCTATAATACGAGCAGCTTTGTAAAGGTCTCCTTTTTTGCAAGCACAATGAACGAGGGATTCAAAGGTATTGGCCTCAACTGATATTCCTCTGCTTCGCAAGCTCATGTACAACTGGAAAGCACGATTTAGATCACCCTCAGCACAGAGTCCTTGATCTACCCTGTTATGAATCCTGACATGAAGTCCCCAAGTTACACGATTAGGAGTGATCCCGGCAAGAACCATTTCATCAAGGAAGTTCACTGCTTCCAAGAACTTGTTAATCTCACAAAACCCATTGATAATTTTCGAGTACAACCCGGCATCAGGTTTCAATCCCTGTACCTTCATTCTATCAAAAATCTCTACAGCATCTTTAAGTTTACCATCTCTACAGAGTCCATGAATTAAGGAACTGTAAATTATTGTATTTGGGACTTGGCGTTTGCTAATCATCCTCTCCAATAGCTCCTTGGCTTGTGAAGAATGCCCATTTTTGCAAAGACCATCCATAAGGGAACTATAAGTATATACATTTGGCTCAATACCTTTGCTCTTCATCTTTTTGAGCAAGTCGAATGCTTCTTCCAAATAATTTGACTGGCAAAGGCCATGTATCAACAAAGAATAGGTAACCACAGAGGGTGAACAGTCATTTGACTCCATCTCTATCAAAAGTTCTTTTGCTTCCCTAATTCTCCCTGCCCTACACAATCCATTAATTAGAGTTCCATAAGTATATGAATCTGGAATGTGCCCACGCTTTGGCATCTCATGAAAAATCCGGAAAGCAGCATCCATGGTTCCATTGCTCTTGCAAAGTGCTTTGATCAACACGTTAAGAGAGAAGACACTAATAGGAATTCCTATCTTCCTCATATATCGATAGAACTTGAATGCCATTTTCAGTTGACTTTCATCGACAAGAATGGAAAACACTGTTACGTAAGATTTTGCCGTGGGTTCACATTCATAATCATCCATCTTGCGAAAGACCCTGATTACATCATTAGGCTTGTGAACCCGAGCATAAGCTCTGTATATAGATAAGAAGATATCTTCAGTGATCTTACACTTCTCGTGCTTCATTCTACCAACCATATCCTCTGCCAAAACAAACTTATTCGCTGAGAGTAATCTGGTGATCATTAGACCAAATGTGGTGTGATCATGCCGGAAGCCATTAGTGTACTCCGCAGTGGCTGCATCAAATATGCAAATAGCCTTCTCTAAGTCCTTTTCTGCTCGAATCAATTGCTCAACGAGAGATGCCGTGATTTGCTTAGGCCATTTGGTCATTGACCTGGTTCCCATCACTATGATCCTCCGTTTCTATTCCTTTTCTTTACTCTTTTTGGATCCATTTATCTATAAACTTCTGTATTATAGGCATTTTGTCGAACAAGTTGGAGTCATTTGGATGTCCAAGTTAAGTACCAGAAAACACGAACTTTACAACTGATGATCGATGTAAGCAAGTAGATAAGGCGATAGCAATTGAATTTGATTCCAAGAAATCGAAGTAGTGTTGAGTCGAATGATACCGCAGATAGCTTCTAGGGTTTCGGTGACGCAGTCTTTTCAAAATTTGCCTGATAACGATATTCGTTACCTTATAGCCAACGGCTGAGCGGGCCGGGTAGTTCCGTGATATACACATGAAGCCCAATATGTGCATGGAGCATATAGGTTTTAGGGAACAATACATAATTCCTATTTTTAAAGTTCACACTTCATAAATAACAAACTTATTAAAATATTTCAAAAATCAGGTGATATAATTTATTAAATATTAAAATATAATATAATATACATTAATTATTTATATCAATGTCACCTCACTACACCACCTTTCTTTCTCCCACTACACCACATTTCCTCCATCTCTCCACCGGAGACGGCCATCTGCTCCGGCGACGTCTCCGGCGAACTTCCGACGAATTTTAAGGTGAACACTCTGGAGCGGCCATTCCGGCGAATTAAAGATTTTCAAAAAATTAAAAATTGAAAATCACACCCCCACTTCCATGGATCCACCTACCACCACCTCACCCCTGCCTCCACGTCCTAAAAAAAATACTGAAAAAATTTCAAGTCACTTTATATAATCAAGTTGCTGTTAGGTCTCATCTGTTACTAATTGTAACCAAGTGTGTACTCACTGTGACTAATTATGACCAAATTCGTGTTAAGTGTGACAAATGGTCACCACAAACAAATCTGCTCACACCACGGACCAACACCACAATCCACCACCAGAAAGAAGAGATGGAAATTGTTTACAAACTTCTGAATACAATTGATTCATCCAAATTTTGTTCTGAATACAAACTTCTAAATACACATATTTCCAAAATTTCAAATCACAATCGGTTACAACGAGTCACAATTAACCAGTCACAAACGGTTACAATCGGTCACAAATAACCAAATTATTTGCGACCATCACTTCGCGAACAACAACATCATCTCAAAACAAATACCAAATTATTCGTGACTACCACTTCTCTTAAGGCAACATCATCTTAAAACAAACACCACACCCTCCCAAACACCACATCACCACCCCAAAACCACCATCTCCACTCTCACAGCTAAAACAACCCAGAACACACAAAAGATTAAGTGGCCATGATATAATGTTTCAAAAGCAGCAACAAATTGATAACGCAAAATGTAAAATACAGTAAATTCTCAAGCCTTTCAGCTAAAGCTCTTAATTCTAACTTCAAATAGAAAGACGCATCAGATAATAATTACAGTCTTTAGATTCTCTAATTATGTTTTCTTTTTTTTCATTTCTAAATCCCAAAAAACTGAGGGCAGCCGACAAAAACTCTGCTATTGATCATGCCCATATCATTAAAAACGCACAGGTAAACCCCCCATGTATATGATTGCTAAAATATGAAATTTTTATGTAAACTCTGTTAGCTTACGGAATCTCATCAGATAGGAGATATAAACTCATTAATTTTGTAAAATGTCAATATTCAGAATATACCAGAAACAGTGCTAAAACAAAATTGAAAACGGAGAGAGAAAGACAGAAATGGAGAACAAGAAATGGTTCAACACGAGGTTGCGATCTTCCCCCTCGTTCCTTTTTCTCCGGCATCTTCACTAGTGGTGTGGGTGAAGGGGTTAGGGTCGCAGTCGACGATAATGTGGGATAGAGGGAGAAGAGCAAGAAGAGGGGGAGGGAGAGAGAGAAATGAATTGGGGGTGTTGGGATTTAACACCTGATTTTTGTAAAAATTTCTTAATGACCTGATTTTTGATAATGAAATCTTAAACCCCTGGGTTTAGGTAATTTTCTCTAAGTTTTAAGGGTACTTACAGAAGGGGAAATTACAAAAAATAGGGTGTTTAAAGATTGGATTTTAAAAATCAGGTCTACAATTTATTTATTCAAAAATCAGGAACTATATTACAACCCTAATTTATCTTTCATCCCTTCCCCCCTCTCTTTCTCGTGCCTCCATCATCTTCCCTTCTCTCCCATTTCCCTACCCCTCTCCCTTGCCTCTCTCCGCGTTCTACACTGCTGCCGGCAGCGTTGCGATGACGATGCTCAGTTCGTGGCAACGTCACGACGCTGCCGTTCGCGCAGCAGAGTCGACGTTGCTGCGAACTGCAGCAGCATGGTTAGTGGTGGTGTTGATAGTCATCTTGCGGAGGCAATGGTGTTTTATGTGGTTGGATGCGACGGTAGTGGTGGTGTGTTGTGTGGTTGGATGTTGCAGTGGTGGTAGGTTTTGTGTGGTGGTGTTTTGTGTGGTGGTGTTTGTACCGGTTGTCGCGAGGCCGTGGTGGTGATGGAGACGGCAGGGTGAGAGTGGTCAAAAGTGAAGTGGTAGTGCCAGTAGTATGTGATCAATTATTTGGTTATCTGTGACCAAGCATTTAATTGTGACCTAAAAATTTGACAATATGTGATTGAAAAATAATATGTGACCAACAAATTTGAAAATATGTGACCAATGAAATTAACTGTGACCTATAATTTTTTTGAATTTGTGACCTCGAAATTACTAGTGACTAATTAATTTGATAATATGTTACCAAATAATTACAGTCTTTAGATTCTCTAATTGTGTTTTCTTTTTCATTTCTAAATCCCAAAAAAATGAGGGCAGCCGAAAAAAACTCGGCTATTGATCATGCCCATATCATTAAAAAACGCACAGGTAAACCCCCCATGTATATAATTGCTAAAATATGAAATTTTTATGTAAACTCTGTTAGCTTACAGAATCTCATCAGATAGATATAAACTTATTAATTTTGTAAAATGTCAATATTTAGAATACACCAGAAACAGTGCTAAAACAAAATTGAAAACGGAGAGAGAGAGAGACAGAAATGGAGAACAAGAAATGGTTCAACACGAGGTTGCGATCTTCCCCCTCGTTCCTTTTTCTCCGACATCTTCACTAGTGGTGTGGGTGAAGGGGTTAGGGTCGCAGCCGGCGATAATGGGGGTAGAGAGAGAAGAGCGAGAAGAAGGGGAGAGAGAAATGAATTGGGGGTGTTGGGATTTAACACCTGATTTTTGTAAAAATTTCTTAATGACCTGATTTTTGATAATGAAATCTTAAGCCCCTGGGTTTAGGTAATTTTCTCTAGGTTTTAAGGGTACTTACAGAAGGGGAAATTACAAAAAATAGGGTGTTTAAAGATTGGATTTTAAAAATCAGGTTTACAATTTATTTATTCAAAAATCAGGTACTATATTACAACCCTAATTTATCTTTCATCCCTTCCCTCCTCTCTTTCTCGTGCCTCCATCATCTTCCCTTCTCTCTCATTTCCCTACCCCTCTCCCTCGCCTCTCTCCGCATTCTACGCTGCTGCCGGCAGCGTTGCGATGAAGATGCTCAGTTCGTGGCAACGTCACGACGCTGTCGTTCGCGCAGCAGAGTCGACGTTGCTGCGAACTGCAGCAGCGTGGTTAGTGGTGGTGTTGATAGTCGTCTTGCGGAGGCAATGGTGTTTTATGTGGTTGGATGCCACGGTAGTGGTGGTATGTTGTGTGGTTGGATGTTGCGGTGGTGGTAGGTTTTGTGTGGTGGTTGTTGTGATGGTGGTGTTTGTACCGATTGTCGTGAGGCTGTGGTGGTGATGGAGACGGCAGGGTGAGAGTGGTCAAAAGTGAAGTGGTAGTGCCAGTAGTATGTGATCAATTATTTGGTTATCTGTGACCAAATATTTAATTATGACCTAAAAATTTGACAATATGTGATTGAAATATAATATGTGACCAACAAATTATGTGACCAACTAATTTAAAAATTTGTGACCTCGAAATAATATGTGACGTACAAAATTTATCTGTGACCTCGAAATAATCCGTGGCCAACAAATTTGAAAATACGTGACCAATGAAATTAACAGTGACCTATAATTTTTTGAATTTGTGACCTTGAAATCATCATTGACAAATTAATTTGATAATATGTAACTAATAAATAAATTATGACCTATAATTATATATATGTGAACATTAATTGTATAATTGTGACCTAATTAATAAATATTTTTAATTAATTAACTAATACCTGAGTTTTGTATTTTTTAAACTTAATACCTAATTTTTGAATGGGTGACACTTGAAACCTGATTTGTGAATTCTACCCTTACAAAAATACCCTTAAAGTTAGGAATGTTTTGAAAATCATATGAGAAGTTTTTAGGAAGTAAAAAATATTGTGTAAAATGAAAATGTGACACAATATCACCTTTTTATAAAAATTGTCACTTTTTTACTTTTTTTGAAATGGTGACGCAAACTCAAAAAAAAATGACAAATACCAAAATAGCACCATCCATTTGTGCAGCACCAGTAATCATGTTCTTAAAATAATCACTATGTTCAGGTCAATCCACATGCTTATTATGTTATGAAAATATAACATATTATTTTATTTTTTTTATCTTTTTAAAAGTGAGAAAAACTAAAAAAAGTGAGAAAATTCAAAAAAGTGACAAATTTTAAAAAAGTAACGAATTCAAAAAAGTGATACAAATTAAAAGAAATTATACAAATTAAAAAAGTGACAGACAATAAAAAAAGTGACACACTCAAAAAGTTATACAGTCTATTGATGACAAGTTTTCCTTCAAAACTATTGCAACTACTGCTTTCTTCATGATCATCTGATTTAATTTTTGTGATCCCACTTGAACCCGAGGACAAGGATATAGGTACCAGATTCAAATCAGTCATGTCCTTGGCCATGAAATCATAGAAAATCGGCATAGATTTTCCTACGGTAGGCGCCAATCTGCTTCCTTTT